CCCAGACTGTAATATAGGCTAACGCCTATATCTATCACAAGATAGACCCCAAGGCAGATTTACAGCTAGAGGCAGGATGCATTATTTGAGAGTACAAAAATAGGTCTTGTACTACACCCTCATCCCTAATTTGGGCAATCCTGGCTCCTGACCAGTCTCTACCATAAGTTAGAGCATCTTGAGGTTTACTCTAATTTACGCTGTTTGGCCAGCAGCCTCAGAGACCATAACAGCAGGGGTGAATTTCTAGGACATGAAAAGCTCAGTCACACTTTCTAGGTTAGGAGCTGCTATAACAAGGGGACAGTTCTCCTGTAGCCAGCTCAGATGGCTTTTGGGCTGCTTTGTGAGGCAACTGGGGCACAAAACAGTTCTCACAAACTAGAGAATCCAACTTTCCTTTTCTATCACTGCATTGAAACTCCAAGGTTGGAGGGTTACTTCCCCTCTGTGACTGCTGTGGGATGATAGCAGCTTAGGCCTTTGATGTTCACTTCAGGCCATCTTTTTTGCAAGAAGAGTTAGGCTTATGGGAATGGCAGCAGGTATCCCTGACATTTCAATAAAAAGACAGGTGTTTCCTGGCTTTAAACTGGGAAAGGTTGTCACAGGGACTGCATGATTCAGTGATGTTTCCCTTGCTGTCCTCCATCAGTCATGGAGATGATGCCAGGGGACTGCTGGTCTGAAGACACAGTATTTTCTCTCCTGCCATGCTCAGTAAAAAAAAAAAAAAAATGACTGAGGAAGGAACAGAGGCTCAGGATTCTGAGAATAGGGGCAGACTCACAGGGCTAATAGGACAAGGGTGGGGAATCCTTGCTAGTGACTTGCTCTGTGACTCTGGGCAAGTCATTTCACCTCTTAGTGCAGCTGCAAATGGGGATATTTTAATTTATATTGTTTAAGAAAATGCATGGAGGCCTGCAGATGAGGAAGTGCTATAAAAGAGCTAAGTATGACTATCATTTGTGGGTTTGGTATAATTTAAGAACAAAACTGCGGATGTTAAATGTAGCAACTTTACAGGCAAAGTTGCCGTTTTTATTAAAACTTTTACAATCCACATTTAGCATATATTACACTCTCTAAATGTGTACTTTTGAAATAGACTGAAACTGTTCCCCTGGAAGCATTCAAGTCTGTTGGATAAATAATAGCCCTTTAATAAAAACCATTTTAAATGCACACTCAAGCAGTCCCACCAGGAAGTCTTGTGGTCCATTAAGTATATAACATCTTTAAAGAACTGCTTAAGTCCTTCCTTGTCCCTCCAGATCTAGTGGCAGAACAAATCTAGAGAAACCAAAGGCATTGGATCAGATCATCTTTTTTTGTAATCTTTTCAAAACAGTTTTCTTTAATATTAAGCTAGCCTACTAGTGTGGCACTGAGGGTAAGCCGATTAGCTCTGCCCTTCAGAGCTAATTAATGTTGGTGCCACACCACAAGGAAAGGTACAAAAAGTAGCTAGGCTGTTTCTGTTCTGGAATTAGCACATGCAGAGTTAGCTTGGGTATCTCTGCACCATGGCTTGCAAGATGACTGTGAGGGAGGTAGGTTGTAGAGCTGTGCATGGGATGAGGCAGGTTGGCTCCAGAGTGGCAGGTAGAGAAGGGGGAATAGAAGGCTTGTGGGGCTGTGTCAGAATTAAGCAGGAAAGATTGCTCCTCAGATTTAAAAGAGAGAGAGAGGAAATTCCTGGATTAGATGAGTCTGGTGAGGGGACTGGCTGACTTAGCAGGTAGAAAACCCCAAATTAATGTTGATGATTGTGACAGGGGGCCTCCTGGGGCCAAGCTCCGTGGCCCGCCCGCCTGTCACTGTGACAGGGCGCCTACTCAGGGCCGAACTCTTCATGGCCCGCCTGCCTGTCTCTGGGCAACCACCCGCTTATCTCACCCACCACACCTTTGATGATAATTGATTCATTAAGATGTCAATTAAGTGGGAGGCTACCCATTGTAATGCCCCAATGCCAGGGGGCACTCTGCAGCTCCAACCTCCCCTAATCCTGCAGCCCAAGCCTCATAGATGGCATCTTGATGTTCCCATAATCACCAGCCCCACACTGGGCCCCAGAATCATCCATACAGGACCCCTCTCTATGATCCTCTCCACTCAGGCAACCTCTCCGCCTTCATCTGGGCTACCTTGCCCCCCCAAAGCCAGTTTCCCCTCAGGTGTGGTTCCCTGGAACCTTCAGCCTCTTGCCCTGGCCCACCTCCAGGCCAGTTGGGACGCCAGGCCCCCAGCTCTTGGGCATCCCTCATGGTGGGCCCCCAGGCCTTTTGACTCTCCTAGTCCTGGCCCCAGCTTGGGCCAGTCAAAGGTACTCACTCACCCCTCACTCCCATCCTCAGGCCTCACCATGCCACTACTCCCTTTCTCCTAGCAGCAACTGCAGCACCACACCCTGTACTCAGTCACACTCTTGGGGTCCACCCTCTCTGGGCCCCCCAACAAACACAAGGGTAACCCACCCAGTGGTGGTGGGAGCTAGGGGTTAAGGCACCCCAACCCCCCTTTCACCAGGGTGATAACAGGCCTGGCATTTCCCAGAGGCTCCCACACCACTAAGAGCCCCACCAGGCCACCCACTCCTGGCAGGGTGCAGTTTTAGGTCATGACCAGGAGCCTCCTTACCAACCCCTTGCAGCTCCCCCTTACCTCCAGGTTGTTCTCAGCAGCCCTCCAGCCAGACAATGTTGCTGTCTGACCTCCTACAGCCAAACTGCCTTGTTTAAATAGGCAGCCGCTGTCTCCAAAATGGCTGCCCTAATCAGGCACCTGGAGGCTGCCAGCTCCAAGCCCTTAAAGTGGCAGACACACCCTGTGCTCTGCCACAATGATCCTTCCTTAGACTGTGGGCTTGCAGGCATTTACCTACCTACTTAAATCTACATATCTGTTAAATGACCAAAATGGACATGACCACAAGTCTGCTAGTTCATTGTGACAGTGTGTTTAGCTTCAGCAGTCCCTGCAGCTCACCTCTGAGTTCCCTGCTATTGTCAATTAGATGGTCACATCACAGCAGTAATCCAATAGAAATAACTTTTATATTTTATATCCTAAACAATTATTTTCACTACTAGTTGGATAACTTAATTTTGATTCCACTGAATACAAGAGGCTCAGGGTAGGTCTACTCTTCAATCCAAACGTGTGACTGCAGCTAAGGTGGACATACCTGAGCTAGCTGTAGTACCAGTTGCAGTGTAAACCTGGCAGCGTGTCCACACCCAGCTAGGGCCCTGGGTATGTCTTTGGAGGCTGAAGTTTCTGCCTCCATCACTATGCTGCTATCAGTGCTTCATGTATTTCAGGTATCTCTCTGAGTTGCAATCCTACCTTTGGATGGCCGTGTACATATGCCTATTGTTAACTGGAACACAACCCTTTGGGATCTTTGGACCTTCAAGTATACTTGTGTGTGTGTTTGCAGTATACCTATGAACTGCTACAAGGCTTTTATCACAGTGCCAGGTTCAGTGTCGTGGCAAGGAAGTTTGGCCCCCAGAGCAAAGCCCACAGTGGCAGCCCACCCTTGCCCCACACACAGATCCAGGGGGCACAGGCCCCCTACCCCCATGCTTGCCCAACAGTGCACGCAGCGGTGGGAGCTGTCTTCCCCCAATGCCTGCACTCCCTGAAACGAGCTGCTTGCAGCTCCGTTACGTGCCCTACCTGGGCTGAGATATTGGTGCCTCTACACTTCCGCAGGGGGCGGAGGGGCAGTCCCCTCCCCACACCACTATGGCACTGGTCAGGTTCATAGGAAGAAACATTAGTATTTTATACCAAAGAAAAACAAAGTATATCTATAGATGCAAGGTAAATAGCTATACAGTTTTGGATGCTGAATTATATATACCGAGTTAGTGATACTGAATATAGCTTTGTGTTTATAGGCCATCTTCTGGGCAGCAGTCCATAGCTCACATCCCAAAGAGTATGCTATACTGGAGGCTGGGACACAGACCCTTCTCTCTAGATGTCAGAGTCCCTAATGAGATACTGGTAGCGCTGACTTGGATCAGTCAGCTCCATCATCATTCTCACTGTTGGGATGCCATTAGCTCCCTCCCTCCATTCACACTGGCATGCAGTGGTAAGGTTGGAACCCTGCAAGACCAAGCTGATTCACCTTCAGTGCAATCACTGGGAATCCTCCTCACTCCTTGAGCAGTGACACCGTTCCAGTCCACTTCAGGCCAGGCTTCTCCAGGGTGAGGATAGGATTGGCTCCAGCATAAATATTTCTGGAAGACTGATTGCAATTACTTCGTGCTATATAGCCACACTTATAATGGAGCATTCTTGACAGCTGAAAGTTAGGTGCTTTTTCTGAAGAGTGAAAATCCTCAGTCTGGTATTCAGATGTAATTGGTGGATTCAGAGCAGGGACATTACGTTATCAAAACACATTTTTGAAAGTTACACTTTCCAATTCTGTGAGATGGGGAAAATTCCAAGGACTATTAATGGATTTGTAAGAAAAGAATGTCTACTACATAATTCTGAAGGGTTTTTTAAGGAAACCTGATATAAGACCTTTTGAGAGACAAGCCTCAGAAAGTTCATTACGCATGACACTGCAACAGGCTGACCTCTTTAAGATCATTTTGCAAGGTGACAAATTAATTTTAAAAAATCCACAGACAGAATTTAGTCCTGAGCTTC